GGCAGATTGGCAGCTTCTATTGGTTTTATACATTCCTTCACCTTACAAAGTTGTCTTAGAGTCTAGATTTTCCTCAAAGCACACAGTCTTGGAGCTGCAAAGGCCAAATTCCCATGCACGACGAGAACTGCAATACTCAGTTGGTGCGGCTGAAGAAGAAAAAACTAGTAGCTAGAAGCTACTAGGAGTCAGAAGCGTCCATGGGAATCGTTCGCTGGGAATCGTTTCACCTGTAGTAACAAGAAGCTACTAGTAACAAGGGCCAGTAACATAGAAGCAATGGCCCAAAACCTAAGAGCGCTCCACGATGTGAGGACTAAGTTTTGGCTTTCACAGTGCCTCAAAGCGCGGGCAGGTGAAGAGGCTGGTACGTTTGAAAAAGGAGTTTGAAGAGTCGGAAGAGCAAGAGGACTGGGAATCGGGAGTAACAAAAGAGGAAAGAAAGGTCCAAAGGTCGGGATTAAAAGCAAAACAGACAGAAATAGAAAGAAAGAAGGAAAAAAGACTGAGAACATCTACCAGTCGCTTCCAGCCGGCAGGAAAACAAGGACGCTACTAGGAGCAAAGGGCATCGCTACTAGGAGCAAGGACGCTACTAGGGGCTCTTGGCATCGCTACTAGGAGCAAAGGGCATCGCTGAAAAAAGGAAGCTAAGGCCCCAACAATCATGTTAATTCCCTGTCCCCACCTATTCCTGTCAACTACAGGGACACCTTAGCCATCTTGGCCTTTGGACTTAACTACCCGATACTCCAAACCTTCTTTAACTATTGTTGCTTTGAACTCTTCAACTCGTTCTTTCTTTCGTTCTTAAAGAAGCTACTAGGAACAAGTGCCTTACTAGTAGTAACAAGGTTCGCTACTAGGAGCAAAAGCGTAGAGAGTCAGGAGCGTAGAATTATAATTTGATTTTAATTAGATTCTAATTTATATATTGTTTCTACTAGCTTCTTGTTCCTAGTAGTAAGGCACTTGTTACTAGAAGCGATGCACTTGTTCCTAGTAGCTTATTGTTTCTACTAGCTTCTTGTTCCTAGTAGTAAGGCCCTTGTTCCTAGTAGTATGGCCAGGAGCCCCTAGTAGCGTCCTTGCTACTCTTCAAAAGCGTAGAGAGTCAGGAGCTGTCGGATGACAACATGGCCGCCTCCCTCAGGGCAGCTCAGCAAAAAATGGACGGCGAGGAGCAGGGGTGCGGCGGGACGGCTGGCTGAAGCCCTGCGTTTGACCGATGTGTTTTTGTTATAGACTGCGATGCCCTTGTTCCTAGTAGCTTCTTGTTCCTGGTAGTAAGGCCAGGAGCCTCTAGTAGCGTTTTGGCTCCTAGTGGCGATGCCCTTTGCTCCTAGTAGCAACTAGTAGCTTCTTGAACGGAAGAAACACAAGGATAGACAAATAGAGTAGAAATTGACCTGGTTTCTTTACATAACACGTTCTATACAAAACTGGTGCTTAGGTGTTGGCTTGAAGAAATTTCACAGAGATCCACGTGTGATGTGTTGTTTTTCTTCACTACTTCAAACCGACTTCAGGTGTTTGTCCTTTGGGAAAGGAAAGATACATATTAGCAAAGGAAAGAGAGCTCATGAAACAAGAGAGACGAAAGAGGCTGATTGGTCTTCTTCAGTTTTCTTAGAAAAAGCTGTTGTTCAATCAAAGACTCATGTTGTTAAATTGGTTTCTCATTGTGTTCAGAACCTGATTCTTCGTAGCTTTGTTTATCTCTTTACGGTCCGGCTGCATTTGCTGGTTGTCGATCGAATACCTATCGCGTCCATAGTCTTCATGAATCGTAGGCAGTCGTTTGGTACAGGAGCCAATGCAGTATCTTGTCTCGCACACTGTAATGGTGCAAAAAACTTTGCCAGGGGTGCAAGCGAGAGCTACAGTGCATTTGCCAACTCAGCTCCAGCTACTAGTAGCTCCTACCATTACTACTAGTAACAAGCAGCTCCTGGCCTTACTACTAGGAACAGGAAGCTACTAGTAACAAGGGCATCGCTATTGGTTAAGTTTCCCTAAAAAGCTAGGAACCAAATCATTAGTGCGAGCGCTTCTTCAAGGAAGGCGGGGAGATTCCTTGAAGAAGCGCGAGCTATCCTGCGTCCAGTTATTAGTAGCTTAACTAAGCTGCGGCTGCTAGGAACAAGTGCATCGCTACTAGTAACAAGTGCCTTACTAGTAGTAACAAGGACGCTACTAGGGGCTCCTGGCATCGCTACTACGAGCAAGAAGCTACTAGCCCGGGGGGGTAGGCCGCTAGGTAGCGATGCCAGGAGCCCCTAGTAGCGTCCTTGTTACTACTAGTAA